GAATGTTTTAAATTTCTTACACATAGTGTGGGTGGCGCATGGCGGACGTAAAAGCCGTAAAACCCTAGCAGAGCCCGAGCCCCAAGGCCGTAAATCCCAGTGCCCCCGACCCCTTGGTTCGCTTGCCTGCGCTGCAGTTTTAAACGAAGTTCCTCAACTTTGAGGCCGTTATTCGGAAGGCCAACTCCGAGATCGGAATGGAAAGTCTTGCTTCCCCGAAACCCCTAAACTCTGAACCCTAAATTCATAAACTTTACAGCCATTTCTGGCTCAAAATCTGCAGATCGAGTTGTTTGCGAATATATGCGCAATGCACTTTCCGGCTATGATGCGCTGGTGGCCACTCCTGGCTGCGATTGCCGTTGAGGCCGTTCGCCGTGAAAAAGGCGCTTGGTCGTGGTTCCCAGTGTTGCTGTTAAGGTCTAAGGATTTGGTTGACACCAAGCAGGTAATATAGGGGCCTTCATTTTGGGGTTGCTTATTAGAGTTACAGCATAATATACCCCCCAAACCTACTCTAATTATTAAGGCCCCTATGTTACATATAGGGCAGGTTAATCTTGCTTTTCATGACTAGAGTTTCAAGGGCCCGTCGGGCGGGAGGGTGGGAGGTTGAAGGAGCTTCTTCGGGGAGGCATGAGGGTCCCTTTTAGGGTCCTTTTCAGAAGGGTGCCATGGTACTTCTGGGAGAAAGACCCTTAAAGTCCTTGAAACACCAGGGTTTACACAAACACATCGGTCAACCTTCTCTTGAGGTTTCCACATGACAGACAAAAAATCCTGTGCGGACTTCAAAGCCACCAGTGCTTCGAGTTAGACCCCAAGCCGTTCACCCGAAATGCCTCACACGGACGAACACACCAGGCGGGCCGCCGGCAGAGACTTATAGTGGCCTGGAAGGATGTTCCTGTGGAGGCTTATCTTTGGAGTCGCAAGTCGCGCGTATGGATGCTCGGATGTCATATGTGCGGGATCAGCAGACGTCGTATAGGGGGCTGAATAAATACTATAGAGTCCCTGTATAATCCTCTCTCATAGTCTATCCCGAAGCCATTCTGGGTGTTAAGGCCCGGGCGGTGTTGTACGGGTCGTTTTTGAGATGGGATATACTACTTGCAACCCGCGGGTTTAGGGTTTAGGGTTTAGGTTTTTGGGGCTTTAGGGTTCAGGGTTAAGGTTTAGGGCATCCTTGCCTGTTTGGATTCCCCTGATCACGCACAGCCTAAACCCAAGTGACCTCGGCAAAGGTCGCTGTCTCGTATGATGCGAACGGCATCCGATCGTTGGAGAAATATGCCAAAGAGATCTTCTCTTGCTACAGTTGGAGCGTCGGGGGCTCAGCACAACATGTCGCAACCCGGCTTGATGTACCTAGCTGCCCGTGGTTTTCACAGCGGGCAGTGTTTGTGCTCATGCTCAGGACTTCTACTACAAGTTGCCACCTGGAGGCATTATCGGGCGTGTCCTCGAGAAAGTATCTTGGAGTACTCCGACTGCCCTCGTCGGAAGATGTGCTCCTCGGCCTTTTGTCGATAAGCCCTAAATGGCCTTTTGTTCAGGTAGGTTTGTGGCGGAGCCGCCAACTTCCGAAGTGGCAGTAGTTGCCGAGTTGGTCAGCTTCAACCTTTTCGGCGTTTAGGGTGTAGGGGTGTTAGATATTACTACCAGAACTGAAAAGGTTAATCTTTTGGGCAAGGGTACTCAACTCCTAAGAAAGCCTCGTTCAAAAATGCTCACCTCGAAGATTGGACACGAATTGTCTCGGATCTCCAAAAACCCTNNACCCTAAACCCTAAACCGTATGTTCTCCCCGGTCTGTTTTCGTGGTCCAGTAGGTTTGGCTCTGACCCTATCGGTTTAGGGACTCTAAACCCGGAACCGAACCGCTAAACCCCTAAACCCTAA